AGGAGATAACAAGCAGAATAGATAAAGGCAAAGCAGTGGATATAATGTATTTAGATTTTCAGAAGGCATTTGATAAAGTGCCACACGTTAGGCTACGCAATGAAATAAGAGTCCATGGTGCTGCACGTAATATATGAGCATGGATAGAGAATTTGCTAACTAACAGAAGACTGTTAGGATAACAGGACATTTTCAGGATTGCAACCTGAAACCAGCGATGTGCTGCAAGGATCAGTGCTGGGGTCACAATTAATCACAACGTATGCTGATGACTTAGATGAAGAAAGTCAATATACTCTTGCCAATTTTGCTGATGACACAAAAATATGTGGGAAGGCAAGTGGTCAAAGAATCTGCAGATGGATATAGACAGGTTGTGAAATTGGGCAAAACTTGGCAGATGGAATATAATGTGGGTAAATGAGAGGTTATGCACTTTGGCAGGAAGAATAGATGAGCTGAATATTATTTAAATGGAGAAAGATTACAGAACAGAGGGATTTGGGACTCTTTGTCCATGAATCACAAAAGGCTAGCATTCGAGTTCAGTAGGAAAGGCTACTGGAATGTTGGCTTTCATTTCAAAGGGAATTGATTATAAAAGTTGCAGGCTTTGCTGAAACTATACAAGGCATGAGCCAGACCACACTGGAATACTGCGAACTCCTTATCAAGGGAAAGGTGGACTAAAACTGCAGGCAATCCAAGAAGGCTCATTCAGCTGATAGCAGGTATGGGGATACTGTCATGATGACAGATTGAGTAGATTGGACCTGTACTCATTGGAATACAGAGGCACGAGAGGCAACCTTATTGAAATTTACCAAATTCTTAGAGGACTCTACAGGGTAGATGTGGGAGGGTCTAGGATGAGAAGGCATAATCTCAGACTAAGGAGTCACACGTTTAAGACAGAGGAGGTATTGCTTCTTTGAGGGTTACAAATATTTGAAATTCTGTACCACAGGGGGTCATCATTAAATATATTCGAGGCTGAGATAGATACATAGATTTTTGATCAGTAAGGGAATCGTGGGTCATGGAGAAAAGGCAGGTAAATGGAGATGAGGATTATCAGATCAGCCGTAATAGCATTGAATGGTAGACGAGACTCGATGGGCTAAATGGCCAACTTCTGATCGTATATTTTATTGTCTTATAACTATTAAAAATCTCAGGGTGGAAAATATTATTTGGATGAGCAAGACATGAAATTGTTATCATTGGGAAATGCCAGGAATATGAAACATTATTTTTTTTCCCCATTGAAAATTTCAGATGGGTTCTGAAGTGCAGTAGGGTTTATAACTTTTCTTTTTGCACAGGAAGGTAAATGCTGCCTTTTGGATTAACAACTTAAAACAATCAGAAGCAAAACAACCTGAGTGGCAGAAACTCTTGCTGTTGTGAGATGGTAGATATGATGTTTACATTGGGAAATATATTGGAAGAAATTCTCAAAAGAACTCAGCAGCCAATACATTGCCACAACAATAATGTGCCATGATAGCACAACCTACATTCAACAAAACGTGAGAGATAAAAGAGAAAGAGGATTAATGTTGCAGTTTTAAAACAGATGCTGTAGAACGTAGAAATCTTGGAAATGAAAGGGGTGGACAACAGCAGTCAGCTGAGTGCTGTATGAAGAGATACTGCAAAAAATACACTTGGAACTTTAAATGTACACTTAAGAGCAGAACGTACTACATTCAGTTTTGCAAAATATGCCATCATTTCATACTTTTTGATTAGTTAATCTTTCCAGTACTATTGAATGTGTATGAATTTATTTTCAAATTAAAAAGGCAAATATGTTAACAACTAATAAATCCATCATGAATGCCCACAACCTAATGGCATAGGGAGGTAGTGGTGGCTATATCAACATAGTTATTGAAAACACACTGTTTTGGCTTCAACCACTTTCTGTGCTAGTGAATTCCACAGGCCCACCACACTGAGTGAAGAAATTTCTCATCTCAGTCCTAAAAGGTTTACCTCTTATCTTTAAATTATGACCCCTTGTTCTGGACTCCCCAATCATCAAGAATTTCCTGCATCTAACCAGTCTAGTCATGTTAGAATTTTATAGGTTTCTACAAGATCCTGCCTCATTCTTCTAAATTCCAGTGAACACACCTAACCAATTCAACTTCTCATATCAGTCCAGCCATCCCAGGAATCAATTTGGTAAATCTTCAATGCAGTCCCTCTACAGCAAAAACGTACTTCCTCAGATAAGTAGACCAAAACTGCACACAATATTCCAGGTGCAGCCTCACCAATGCCCTGTAAAAGTACAGCGAGATATCCTCGTGGTTGAATCCTCTTGCTATGAAGGTCAACATACAGTTTGCCTTCTTTACTGTTTGCAGCACCTGCGCATTTACTTTCAGAGACTCGTGCACAAGGACACCCAGGTCTCAACTGACCATTCCCTCTCTCAGTTTACAGCCATTCAAATAATAATCTGCCTTCCAATTTTGCTACCAAAGTGGACAACGTCACTATCCACTTTATAATGCATCTGCCAAGCATTTGCCCACTCACTCAGCCTGTCAAAAATCACACTGCAACATCACAGCATCCACTTCACAACTCACCCTTGCACCCAACTTTGAGAGACCTGAAAATTTTGAGTTATTATATTTAGTTCCCTCATCGAAATCATTAACATATCTTGTGAACAGCTGGGCCCTAGTACTTAACCCTGAAGCACCCCTTTAAATACTGCTTGCCCTGAGAAAAAGACCCATTTGTTCCTACTCTGTTTCCTGTCTGCTGACTAGTTTTCTATCCACCTCAATATACTACCCCCAAATCCCATGTACTTTAATTTTACACATTAATGTCTTATGTGGGACTCTGCCCAAAAAGCCTTCTCAAAGTCCAAATAAATCACACTCATTGGCTCCTCTAATCAATTCTACTAGTCACATCCTCGAAGGATTCCAGTAGCTTTATCAAGCACGATTTCTCTTTTGTAAATCCCTGCTGACTCTGTATTTGATTCTACCACTGTTTTCTCAGTGCCCTGCAATGAAATCCTTTATAATGGATTCTAGCATCTTCCCAACACCTGACATCAGACTCACTGGTCTACAATTCCCTGTTTTCTCTCTACCTCCTTTTTTAAATAGTGGGGTTACATTACCTATCTTCCAATCTGGAGGAACTATTCCAGAATCTAATCTAATAAAAAGGTACTAATATTAATTAAGGGATAATTGGGTGAGAACTGAGTGCATAAACATGTTATAAAGTGTTTGAACAGGTTGGTTAGAAATATCAAAACATGGGAAACAAGCAAATCAGTGAGATTGGATTTTGTGGTTTGTGAATTAAAACTTTGGCTACAAAGCTATTTGACTAGACTGTCCACCTAGCCTTTCGACCTCTAGTTATTTAATATCATACACTGTGCAATCCCATGCATATCCTCAGTTGTGACCTTAAGAAGGAGGGAAGATCATTGAAGCAGCTCAAAGTGTTAACTAGGACACTCTGATGAATTCTTGCAATGATGTGCTGAGACTGCAAGGACTGTGCTTGTTGGAAGGCCCATCAGTTTTTTGTTCCAAGTATGACTCAAACAGCCAAATTTTCCCCAATTTCTATCCACTTCATTTTGTTAAGGTTCCTGGAAGCTACACCTGTACAAATGTTACTTTGATGTCAGGGGCAGTCACTCTCAGCTCACCTGTTAAGTTGAACTTTTTGTCCATGTTTGGATCAAGGAGGTATTAAGGTCAGGAGGTAAGTGTCCCTGGAAGAATCCAAAACCGAGCAGCAGACAGGAAGCTAGTTCTGCTTCAGTGCTGCTTGATGGCCCAGCCAACAACACCTTTCACTACTTTGCTTATGGTCGACATTAGATTGTTGGAGCGATATTTGCTGATGATTGACATTAGATTGTTGGAGTGAAATCTGGCTGTATTAATTTATCTTGTTCCTTGTGAACAGGACATATCTGAACAATTCCCACCAACTGTCGTACAGCTGCCAGTTTTGCTGTTGCACTAGATTGCTCAATCAGGCTCCTAGTTATATCTGCAGCACAAATCTTCAGGTTTACAACCAGGATGTTGTCAAGTAGCAAAAACTAAAGCAATAGCAATTAACAAAATTGAACAAGTACTTGATTGTCTACTTGAACAGCCATGATCTGTTGATCTAGTGCAGGAAACGGAGATCAGGGTCAGTAGCTCTTCATTAACAAATGTCAGATATTAAAGAGGAACATGGCAAATAGGAGCAAGAGTCAGCTGTTCAATGATATTATGACTGATGCTCTATCTCAAAACCATTTGGTTCCCTGTTCACACAGCCCTTTATGCCTTCAGTGTCTGGAAACAGAATCCACAGAATCCCTACAGTGTAGAAACAGGCCATTCGGCCCAACAAGTCCACAGTGACCCTCCAAAGAGCATCTCACCCAGACCCATTCCCCTACCCTATCCCTGTAACCCTGCATTTCCCATGACTAACACACCTAATCTATACATCCCTGAACACTATGGGAAATTTAGCATGGCCAATCCATCTAACGTACACATCTTTGGACTGTGGGAGGAAACTGGAGCACCTGGCGGAAACTCACGCAGACACAGGGAGAATGTGCAAACTCCACACAGACAGCCACCCAAGGGTGGAATTGAACCCAGATCCCTGGCATTCTGAGGCAGCAGTGCTACTGCCCGGAAAAATATTTTCCTTTCTTAAATATATTCAGTGACTTGCCCACCACCTTGTGTAAATTCCACAAGGCCACCATCCTCCGATAAGGAAATTTCTCATCATTTCAGTCCTAAATGTTCCACCATTTAAATAACTAAAACATGTATTCTGAGACCATGGCTCATTGTTCTAGACCCAGCTGGGGGAACATCATCCCTACATCTATTCTGTCTAGCCTGGTCAGAATTTTGTGTGTTTCAATGAGATCCCGCTTCACTCTTCAGAACTTCAGTGAATATAAAAACTAGTTTAGTATCTACCTTGGCAACCAACATCTGTTGTTGGGCCTCAATCTGGTGCTGTTGTCTAGAAGCCATTTCTTGCAGTTCTGAAAGTGTCAGCTCCACCCGAGGATTACCACCCTGTGTTAACAAAAATGAGATGTTAGCATTTATGGATATTTTGTAATTTAAAGGCTTATATTGAATTAACCAAAAACAGTCAACACTGGAGGTTTTAAATAGGACATCTTATTACAAGGATTGCTCTTTATCAACCAAACCACCTACAAATTTAACATTTTTAATGCCATTTGCTCCTAAGCTCAATAACTGAGATGCATAAATTCCTCCACTACAAGAAACAACAGACATGTCAAAATTTTTACATTTTCCAGAACATATACATGCTTTTTAAAACAATATTTTCCCTTGTTGAATTTGTCATCCAGTTCTCTGCAGTGTGTGTTAAACCATATCTGCCTTAGCTAATTAAAAAGTTTGTGCTCCTTTAAAGTTCAAGGCTTGATGATTTGTACAACCAGTTTCACAGGAATCAAGACATTTAAGATACTGGAGACCTTTCAGTCCATCATCTCCATGCCATTCAATGACAATCTAGTCTCAACTTCCTGTACAATAAACATTTAAGTACTTGTTAAACACGATTCTTACCATTTTAAAAAGGTGAGTTTCTGCCTCCACTAACTTTTTTTAAAAAGCGAGTCATTAGTCCCTACCACCATCCAGGTGAAAATATGTTACTTCACCTGCTGCCCTCTAATCCATCCACCAATTATTTGAAATCTATGCTCCTGGCTTTTTATCTCTGCTAGGTTGAATAAATTGTCCCTATTTATTTTATCTAGGTGCCACAGAATTTTATTCAGAACAGCCTCGGCTATCCAACCTTAGCTCAATACTAAAAGCTTTTCCAATTCAGGTAGCATCCAAGAAAATCTTTGCTGCAACCCTCCAGCACAATCACACATCTCTTGTCGTGTGATAGCAGAACTTTATGCAATACTCAAGTCACAGTCTAACTAGTGACAACAAGGTGCAGGGCTGGATGAACACAGCAGGCCAAGCAGCATTATAGGAGCAGAAAGGCTGACGTTTTGGGCCTAGACCCTTCATCAGAAAAATACTGTTGAATTAGAAGATCATCTCATTGAATGGTTGAGCAGGTTTGAATGGCTGAGTAGCCTCTTAATTTCTGTTTAAACTGAAGTCTAGGCCCGAAACGTCAGCCTTTCTGCTCCTATGATGCTGCTTGGCCTGCTGCGTTCATCCAGCCCTGCACCTTGTTGTCTCGGATTCTCCAGCATCTGCAGTTCCTACTATCACAGTCGAACTAGTGTTGTTTTACAGTTTCAGTCTCAGTATATACTCTACTTCAGTTAAGAAAAGGGTGTGTGCGCCTTCTCAACTATCTTATCTATCTGCCCCGTGGTCATTAATGATCTGTGGACATAAACACCTCGGTCCTGTTTTTCCTCCACACTGCTCAGTATCCTCCCATTGATTTTTCACTTCCTTGGATTTTATCCCTCCCAAAATATATTAATCTCATTTTGGACAGAATTTCATTTTTTGCTTTACTGTTAAATAATCAAAACGTCGATTTCAGTTTAAACAGAAATTAAGAGGCTACTCAGCCATTCAAACCTGCTCAACCATTCAATGAGATGATCTTCTAATTCAACACTATTTTTCTGCACTATTACAACTCCTTTCATGTTTTTATCATGCAGAACTCTATCAATCTCAATTATGAATATTTTCAACAATTCAATGTTCACAATCTTCTGGGGCAGAGAATGAGATTCACCAGCGTGAGAGATATTTCTGCTCATCTCAATCCTAAATGGCCTACTCTTTGTTTTGATACCATATCTCCTGCTTTTAGATTTGTCATGTACTGCAAGAACATTGCATTTTTCAATTAAATCACCTCTCATTCTTCTAAACACCAGAGAGCAAAGTTCCAGTCCACTGAATTTTCAATATAGAACAACCCTTCCACCCCAGGACTTAGTTTGGTGAACCTTTGGTGCTCCCACTATGCTAAGTGTATCTTTTCTTAGGTAAGGAGGCCAGATCTTCACAATACTCCAAGTGTGGTCTGACATTCTACTAATTGTAGCATATTAATATCCTCTTGTAATAAGGGCCAATATATGATTTGCTTTCTCACCTGCTTGCTTTACCAGTATGTTAGCTTTTTTTCACTCATGAGTGAGGATATCCAAGTCCCTTCGAAGCTTAACACTTCGCAGCCTATGACCATTTAAGAAATACTTGTTCAGTCTTTTTTTTCCAAAATGGGTAACCTTGCATTTCTATACATTGTGTTCTATTTCCCAAACGTACCTATAAATTTTGGACTTGTTACACTTGGGCCCCACATTAAAATCAACTGCATGGATTCGGAATAACTGGGACCCAAGAAGAGATTCTTGCAGTACTGTGAGAGTCATAGCCTGCAAAACTGAAAATGACCTATTTAATGTGACACTATTTTCTGTCTGTTAACCAGTGCTCAAACCACTGCAGAATATTCTTCAACTCATGTACTAATTTTGTTTAATAAGCTCATGTGGAACATTATCAAAAGCTTTCAGAAAAATCTAAACATATCAACATCTACTCAGTCCCTTTTACTCATTTTGCCAGGTACATCCTCAAAAAAACTTTAACAGGTTAGTGAAACATGATTTCCCTTTCATAAATCTATGTTGATCTGCCCAATCTTACTGTTACTTTCTATGCATCCCTTTATCACATACTGCATACAATCTAACATTTTTTTCTTTGAATGACACTAGCTTAACAAGTCTGTTATTGGGACCAGTTCTGCGGGAGGTGGGACCTGTACACATTGGATAGGTTACCCTTGGGCAGCGTTGATGTCCTTGGGGGAGTGTTTGCTAGAACGGTTGGGGAGGGTTTAAACTAATATACCAGAGGGATGAGAACCTATGTAAGGAGTCAGAGGAGGAGGGAGCAAAGACAAAACCAAAAGGTAGAAATGGGAATCAGAAAGGTGATAGCCAGAGAAACCAAGGACAAAATTCAAACAAGACTATTGAGAAAAATAAAAGCGAGACAAACAATGTTAAAAAGACAAACTTAAAGGCTTTGTGCCTTAATGCGTGGAGCGTTTGCAGTAAAGTGGATGAACTAATTGTGCTGATAGGTGTAAATGAGTGCGATATAATTGGGATAACAGAGCCATGGCTGCACAGTGACCAGGGATGGGAACTGAATGTCCCAGCATATTCCATATTAGGAAGGATGAGCAAAAAGGAAAAAGGTGGTGGAATGGCATTGCTGGTTAAAGAGGAAATTCACACAATAGTGAGGAAGGATATTAGCTCTGACAACGTGCAGTCTGTATGAGTAGAGTTAAGAATTACCAAGGAGCAAAAAACATTAGTGGGTGTTATATATAGACCCCCAAACTGCAGTGATGTTGGGATTAGCATTAAACAGGCAATTAGAGATGCACGTGATAAGGGAATATTGGTTACCATGGGTGATTTTAATCTGCACATAGATTGGGCAAATCAAATTAGCCACAATGCCGTAGAGGAGGGATTTCTGGAGTGCATACCGGATGGTTTTCTTGGCCAATATGTGGAAGAACCAACTAAAGGACAGGCCATCTTAGACTGGGAACTGAGTCATGAGAAGGGAATCATTGCCAATCTAGCTGTACAACCATAACATGATAAAAACATTCATCAAGACGGAGAGTGAGGTAGTTGATTCAGAGACAAGGGTGTTGAATCTTATTAAAGGAAGCTAAGTAAATATGAGACATGAGTTAGCCTTGACAGTTTAGAAAGAGTTACTTAAAGGGATAACAGTGGACAGACAATAGTAAACATTCAAGGAATGTAGGGGGAACTGCAGCAACTGTTTATTTCTGTCTGGCACAAAAGCAAAATGGGTAAGAGGGCCAATCCATGGCTTACAAAGGAAATTAGAGATAGTTTCTGATCCAAGGAAGAAGCATATAGATTGGCCGAGAAAAATGATAGGTCTGAAGATTGGGAGCAGTTTAGACTAAAGGATTGATTAAGAAAGGTAAAATACAGTACAAAAGCAAGCTTGCATGGAACTTAAAGACTGACACTAAGAGTTTCTATAGGTACGTTAGGAGAAAGAGATCAGTGAAGCCAAATGTAGGTCCTCTACAGACAAAAATGGGGGAATGTATAACAGGGGACAAAGAAATGGCTAAGCAGCTGAATACATACTTTGGTTCTGTCTTCAGAAAAGAGGACACAAATCCGTTACCAGAAATGTTGGAGAATGCAAGATTTAGTGAGAGGCAAGAACTAAGGGAGAAGAACATTAGTAGAGAAATGGTGCTGGGAAAACCGATGGGATTGAAGGTGGATAAATCCCCACAGCCTGATAATCTACATCCCAGAGTACTTAAGGAAGTGGCTCTAGAAATAGTGGATGCGTTGGTGGTTATCTTCCAGGATTCCATAGACTCTGGAACAGTCCCTGCAGATTGGAGGGTAGCTAATGTCACTCCAATATTCAAAAAGGGAAGTAGAGAGAAAGCAGGGAATATAGACTGATAAGCTTAACATCAGTAGTGGGGAAAATTCTCGAATCCATTATCAAGGGCTTTATCGTGGAGCATTTAGAAAGCAGTGGCCGGATTAGACAGAGTCAGCATGGATTTATAAAGGGGAAATCATGCTAGACAAATCTGCTGGAATTCTATGAAGATGTAACTAGTAGAGTCGACAAGGGGGAGCCAGTCAAGGTGGTATATTTGGACTTTCAGAAATTGTTTGACAAAGTCACACATAAGAGATTATTACACAAGATTAAAGCACATGGGACTGGGGCAAATGTATTGAGATGGATAGAAAACTGGTTGGCAGCAAGGAAACAAAGAGTAGGAATTAATGGGTCCTTTTCAAATTGGCAGGCAGTAACTAGTGGAGTGCCACAGGGATCAGTTCTGGGACCCCAGCTATTCACAATATATACTAATGATTTAGATGAGGGAACAAAAGGTAACACCTCAAAGTTTGCAGATGATACCAAGTTGGGTGGGAGGGTGAACCGTGATAAGGACGCAGAGATCCTTCAGCATGATCTGGACAGGTTGGGTG